GAAGTGAATAGTTTTCAGTGAATTTATTGCTATTGTCCTCGCCTCTAACATCTGCTATATATTTTCATTCAAAAGAAACAAGGGAAAATATAAATAAATAAGAAATAAACTAAAATAAAATATTGAGGAAACATAAAAGCATTCTTTTCAATGAAACAATTCAAACATAAATTTCCGTTAAGAAAAGCATGCGTTTTAATTATAAGGGTACAAAATAGGTTAATGGAAAACAAAAGTCTTATTTTCATCATCATAAGTAAACCACGTGCGTTAAAATACGCAGAAAGTTGAGAAATGACATTTTTAAAACATTCTCTTCAGGATTTTTTATTTACCAGATGCAAACTCAAAAGAAACATATGGTGTTCTACCATACAACTGATATACTTCCAACAAAAAAGACTGAAAAATAAAAGTGATTATCCAAAAGGCAGTTGTCCATTTCTAATATGTTATAGTTCAACAGGAATCATTTGTTATTAATCCAGAAAACTTTAAGCTCAGTCACAAATGTAAATTTTCCAATACAAATTAAGATTCTTAAGTAAGCGTTCGTCTCATAAGATTGGGTAATCCTGAAGTGTTAACAACTTGTTTGCACACTCTTCATTGCCAATGGGGTGTCCATTGGGGGGGGGGGGGGGGGAAGTAAGCTTCAGAACTTAAAATGTAAAATTACAGGTTTTAATTCCCAGAAGTTCACTGAGCACGGATAGCTTATTGTGCACTACGAAATCAACAACAATCCGGTCAAATCATACACTCAAATACAATTTGGTTAAATACTTTAGAGTGAATGTGTTTAAAAAGAAATTATTGAGAAGACAAAACATTTCAGTGTACTTTGTTACTTATGATTATGCCACCTAACCGCATAAAGTTTTCAAAAGCATTTCAGAATCATTTCATCTACGAAACGGGAATAAGCACATACATTAAAAAAACTATTTTCACAAAAAACATACAATTTTAGACTGAGTATATTGTAACCACAGAGCATTTCCATTAAATATTAAATCAAGGTTACTCGTGAAAAAAAAAAGGTTAGAATTAAAAGTAAAAAGAACGTTTACAATGCACAATAAAACTTTTATTTGGCTGATGTCCATCACCATGTAAGTCTTGTAATGTCGGCCATTAGCCATATAAAGTTTTTTTGTGCATTTTAAACATGTTTAGTTTTACTTTTAGCATTTCCATAACTCAAAAAAATAAATCAAATATATCAACGGCTGTTCTTTTTTCATGTTTTCAAACTGGACAGACAGACAGACATGATTTTCACAAATTCCCAAATTGTACAGGACTACATCAAAATAGCATGTCAAAAAAGGTTTTTGATAAAAACTTTTATGTTTTATTATGACCTTATTTCAAATAATTTACACAACATTCATTTCAATTGTTAAAAATCTATTAACTTTCTTTCTGGATATGTCTGGCAGATCGATATCCCTGATTAGGCCCTATCAGGAAAAGTTGTGTAAGTACTGACCAAGGTAGCAATCTTTTCTGAGCTCTAAAGTTCCCAACATTGATTCATCCCCTAAAACTTGAGAATTTCGTGGAATTGGAGTGTCGGTCATAGGAGCTTCAGTACCAAGTTGCTTATCTGAAGTCTTAAGTTCCATCTGGTCGTGATGTATCCACAAGTCAGGTGGTTTAATATCCTTGTTTTTTCCTGCTATTTTTCCTTCTCTGTATAAAATCAAAATTTGCTAACCTTATTACGGACCCACATAAAATACTATACACTATACTACAGCCAATGATGGCTAAATTATTGGTCTTTTGTTTTGCTGTATATATTACTCACTATATTCTTAAAAATAGGATGCTTTTCTTTTGAATAATTAAGTCAAAGCTTCCATAAAGTATGCTAATTTGCTTTTGTTATCAGTTTATTTAAGAAAATAAATGCTAAAAAAATTAATGCTACAGTTAAATTATATATACATATGTATATTTACCCTTTCTTTGTTCCCTTCAAAATGCAGCCCTGTTGTCGACGACACACCATGATGCTAACAACAGTGATAAACAGCAAAGTAAACACAGAAACACAGATGATGATGATGTGCAGTGTAGTGTTAGTCAACCCACTGCCGGTTTCTGAAAAATCAACATCTGAAGTTTACATACTACTCTCATAAAGAGAGAACAATTTTCTTAAAAGCTTTTCAAATGTACACAGAGCAAAAATAAACAAAACTTGTGACTGAAATGACAAAAAAAAAATATTAAACAGTTCTTTATTTTCTAATTATGTTTCCCATTAAGGAAACAAAAATCGAATAAAGAAAAATGTTAGATAATGTTCCCCTCCTTCTTTCTTTTGTTATTAAATCCTAATGACCTAATTTGATACTAATTGCACACTTCTTAAATACTTGTGTCTGTAAAATTCAAAGCTAAAAGTGGAAATGTGACCCTATTTTGGGCACTTTTTTTTACTCCCCCTTCTTAGGCAAGAATCCTAAAACAAAGTGGCCCATGTGCATCATTGGACAGTTTCCAGTTATGGTAATTGTGGTAATTAAACCAGCCAACTATGGGTGATGAAAGTCAAGTCTATACAAAAAATGGAATATACCCGATTTCAGGGTCTTTTATCACTCTTCTCAAACAAAATAGCTCATGTACAGAATCAGAGAGTTTCTAGATACCATACCAAAAATTACAGTAACTGAGCCAATGAACTCTGGGTGATGGATGTTAACACACACACACACACAGACCAGGGTCCAAATTCACACCAGTTAGTCAGTCTTGACTAGCTAGGAGGCCTGTGTACCAGCTAAAATACCAAAAAAACTAATAATCTACTCAGTCCAACAGAATTTTTTCTATTTTACCATCTGACAAACACTTGTATACTTTAATCTTAAAACCGTTTTTGTCTCATGAAAATGTCTTTTTTAATTTAATCATCCAAATGGAGTTTCTAGTTTTCCTGGCCTATTTTTAAACGAAATCCCTATGATGTGTGAAACTAAAAGGAACGTGTGAATGATGGGATTCATCCACCAAATGAAGTGTGATGAACATTAACATCTCGGTGGAAGGATACTTTAACTTTTAGTCAGTATTAAAGTAGTTATCTCAAGTCATATTATTTTTTTTTGTTGTTTATCTGGATTGATATAAAGATTATGTACATTCCAAGAGTAATATAATAAAAAACGTTTGTTTTCAATTAAAGAGTTCCAATTAATGTTACACATATATACACACACACACACATACATATTTGCAATTATCCCTTTCTTTAAAACTTTCACATCAGCACTTAATAAAATTAACATATTATATATGTGTGTGTATGTGTTTGTACTTGGTTTGGACTACTTTTAATTTTTCGAAGGACCAGTTAGAAAATTTATGAATTTTAGACTCTGACACACTATATACACACACACATAATACAACATTTTTTATTAAGATTTTGTGGGTAAAGACAGATAAACTGTCAAAATTCTAATACAGACATTCTAGTATTTCCAAAAATATAAAAAAAACACTGCACGTGGCAGCAGAGCTGTCGCACAAATCAAGTGTCGTCAGTGAAAAAAGTTTGGGAACAACTCTATTAAGGTGTAACCAATATTAGCAAAATATAAAGATATGAATAATAACAACATTTCTAAAGATATGAATAATAACAACATTTCTAAAGATATGAATAATAACAACATTTCTAAAGATATGAATAATAACATTTCTAAAGATATGAATAATAACATTTCTAAAGATATGAATAATAACAACATTTCTAAAGATATGAATAATAATAACATTTCTAAAGATATGAATAATAATAACATTTCTAAAGATATGAATAATAACATTATCTTACCTTGAACTTTTCCACCTACTGCATGTACTTTGTCTGTTAATTGGTTTGAAAAAACAAAAACTGTTACAGGTAAAAATTCAAAAACAGTCAATTACACGACAAAATGCACTCTTTAAAAGTAGATTAAATAAAACATAACCTAGAGGTTAAAATATAAGACGTAATATATATGGGTACAAAAATTAAATCCTACCAGATTATTCTTGATTAAATAAGTAACTTCATGCTTCGCTTTTCTTTAAAGTAAAAACTTTTACTAATAAAAATGTAATATTTGATTAGGAACAATACTAACGTTTATCTGTGACAAAGATCACTTCTGTAGAAAAGGGGCCATAGCCTTTGTTGTTGCGTGCTTGTATTTTGAAATAATAGGTTGTAGCTGGAGTAAGTCCTTTAAGCGTTGTTGTCATTTTATCTCCAACAACACCTTCCACAACCCAGTTGATATCTTTTTGTGTGTTATCAGTTGTGTAAAAGATGACATATCCTTAAAAATAACAGTAAAATATCAAAACTTACAAATGTAATGATAAACAAGCTTAAATTAATTAGCTTGTTTGTTTTTGTTCTTGTTTTAAAACATGTATAGCATAAAACAGCATTAATATTCCCCAACTAAAACTGTGGTCACTCTACCAGCATGAATGCATAATTTGAAAAAAAGCATTGTATTTTATTTTAAAACATACTTAATGTAGATTTTTTGCAAAAATAAACTTGAAAAGGTAGAAAGAAAATATTTCATATTTTTTAACAGTTGAATTTTGTATAAATTATGAAATTTTACATTTGAATATTATAATTCATTCCTAAAACTGCTTTTCATAAATAAATTAGAAAAGTTAAAAATTTATGTTAAAGTGGTTCCTTTTTTACTTTTGCACAAAACCAAAACAGTCAAAATAATGACTGGTAACACCAAGACCATCAAAATAACAACTAAATGCATTTAATCACTGAAATTTTAACTGGTTTATATTATATAGCATATCATGATCTTCCTTATTAAGTACCTAACCTCAATTCTATTTATATTAATGAGAATAAATTGTCTTTACTCAAATATATTTCATTATAATTCATTCTAGTGATAATTCCGAGGTCTGACTGAACTGTATTCAAAAGTTTTTTTCATTATGACAGTAAAAAAAGGTCAACAGACATAATTTGTAATGAACACATGGAAATATCATCTGTAGAGTCACACACATACTATTCTGATAAATTTGTAAAAAATTGTTCGTGTAATATGTTGTCAAAAATATAACACAATTCTTCTGTAGACATCGCCACCTGTTAAAGAAAAATAACTGCCAAATTAATTGTCCTATTATACCTGTGATAAGTCCATTTGGCTGTTTTGGAGGTTGCCAATGGAGATTCACCACCGTAGATTCATCTTCAGAAGGTACCAGAGTCAGATCTCGAGGTGGAGAAGAAGGAGCTTGGGAGAGAAGAATGAACAAAAATATTTAAATGCTTTTGTATGTTATTTCATAAAATGCCAAAGAAGACGAAAAAATAATCCTGTGCAAACTATCAATAATTTATGTTCCTAGCTAAGAACTGGGCTTAAAATTACTCCCTGCCGGCTTCTGTACAATCAATATATGCATACATTCATGCCTGCGAAAAAAAACCAGAAAATTATGTGTATTTCAATCCAAAATTAACTTTGATGTTGTAACCATCTATTACCTGTTGAATAAAACCATATCTGTTTCAGTTTTCCTTTCAGAAATTGTTATTTAATTTTTCCTAACTCTTTGTGTAATTCTACATTAATTATAGGTGACGGTTTTAACAAAATTTGGGGATAAGGGAGATTTAAAGGTCAAAATCTTCGATACAAATTTAAAAACTACAATAACATTTTGTTTATTTTCTTAGTAGGTTCAACAGACTTTATCTATCTCTTCGAACTTGTTGTAAGTTTCTAGAGTAAGTCTTTATCTGATCTAGCATAAAGAAACATCATCTCCAAACATTTTTTTTTTTAAATAGTGGAAGAAGCTTTACAAGACTGAATTCAACCACCTAAAACATTCAATGTTCACAGTTTAGTTCTAGAGAATGGAGGTAATCTTTTTTTTTCTGGTTTATACATACCTGCTTCTTGTGTGGTGTTAAAGGCACTCATACTCCAAGTGCTTTCCTGTTGACCTAAGACCACTTTTACGGAAAATTCATACTGCGTGTTGGGCTTCAGATCATCGATCATACAATTCAGGTCAGTGGAGTTGTAAAATTTGGACTTGGAATGAGCTTCATAACTGAAAGGAGTGTAACGAACTGTGTAGAACCTGCTGTCTGTAATAATCTGGTTCTGAGTAAGAGTTGTATCAGTCCAGTAGAGCACAACAGTTGTAGGAGACAGCACAATGGCTTTCAAACCCACGGGTGGCAACATTGGAATCAGTGGTTCGGGTGCTGTTCCAATGCAGTGACATTATTACTGAATACTAACTTCCATAACAAAAACATAGTTTTTAGTATAAAAATAGTTAAATCTTCAAAAAAGCTTTTTTATACTTCTTAAACCTAATTAAAACATATTGATACTCTGCTACAAAAACATTACTGAACCATTAATCCATATATTATTAAATATTAATTATTATTAAATCATAGTTTCTTCTCATATAAATTATTAACAATAACCTTTATATTGAACATATTTTTGTCTTTTAGAATATTTTCCAATCCTCATTTTAAGATCATTATAAGAAAAAAAATATTTTAACTTTCTTTTATACATTATACAGAGTTATGTAATTGTTTTAAACTTCATAAAATAAACATTTAAAGTAGTGTGAACAGGTCCTCTGTAGGTGATTTACTTTGCATAAATAATGGACTTTCATGAACATTTTGACACAAACAGGGGAAGAACTAATTATTAAATGAAGCACAAACTAGTAGCACTGTTTGAAAGTTCAAATTATCATCAAAAGACAATTTTAACACTTTTTATCAATTGCCATTGATTGTGAACAGCCATTAATGTCTGCATGATTGACTCCCAAGGTAAGGGTTAAAAAAACTACATGAATCCAGTGGCTATAAAATACATGACATCTAAGGCCTTTTGTGTTAAAACAGGTCACTGCTAGTCTTTTGAGTTTTACCCATTAAAACAGTATTCTTTCATATCTCATATTTATAAGCAAATATCCCATTAAGAGTTACATTACTCAAAAAAATTAAATTAAATTGGATGGAACATATATTTCTATTTTGTTATGTTTCTGAATGTTTTTTTTCTTACGATTTATATTCAAACTAGTTTAACCCTATTTAGGATTTTCAATAGTGAAACTTGTATCTGTATTGAGAAGAGAGTAAAATGTTGTTTTTCTTTTTCAATTGCGTAGCCTAATGTGAAACATAAAAATGAAAAACAGTAACAATGAATCAGCTGAAACTTTGTTGAATGGACGGCAACTGCCTGTTGTAGAAACACAAGTGTAGAGAACAATGTTTCAAAAGTCTTCCACCTTTCATCTTGAGGCGGAAGACTTTCAAAACGTTGTCCACTACACCTGTGTTTCTACAACAGGCAGTTGCCGTCCATTCAACTAAGTTTCATCATGAACACTCGGGCCTAAAAAATCTATCAAAGAATGAATTATCTCCTTAATACTAAACAAAACAATCCATCTTTCCATTCAATCCACTAAACCAATCTATTCAATCCACTCCTATGAATTCACAAACAAAAAACAACTCATTCAACAACAGTTCATTCACTTCATTTAATTTATAGATCACAAAAACAAATTCTCCTTGCAATTCAGTTGAAAGACTTCAGATATGTATTTGACATTGTTAGTGATTGGTGAGAAATTTGATACCACAGGAAAACAAAAATATATTTACGTATTCTGATATGAGAGTGGAATAGGTAACTTGGATCAACAATGTATTAACACTGCAAACTCAAAGAATATAATTTAGTAGGCTAAGCATTAATACATATGCAAATAATAACATCAATTTTAATTTCATGCTGAGGAACTCTTATTTAAAATATCCAAGATTTAAATGTACTTGTCTTGTTTATCTGTGTTTAAGAAGGTTTGTGATAAAAGATCGTTTTAATTGCTCAATTCTTACTGCTTTTAACGAGTGTCCTCACTGTTTCGTAAATGGGTCTGCCATCACCCACTTGGTTGAATGCTCTAAGACTGATTACATACTCTGATGATGGTTCTGAAAATAAAACAAAAACATGTACTAGTACGTATAATACAGGGTGGGGAAAAAGTGAATAAACAGTTGGTACTAAAAAAAATATTACGAAGACAATTGAAACCAATCTAATTATTGTTCGTTTCAAAGTAACAGTTAGAAACTAATTTATGTATATTAACTTTTTTCTTACTGTATATAACACTGATATTTATCAAAGTAACCCTTATAAAAAAACAACAGAAAGTTGTTTAACTATGAGTACGCTAAAGCACCATACAGGATATCTTATACGTGTAGGAATAGGTTTCTTGTATACGATTACCATATTACAGTCCCACAAAAATCCTATAAGACTTATATAAAACTTACAGAAATTGATTTTATATATTATATAGATTATCTTACAGGAAAATTTGCAGGATTTTGTACAACAACAAAGTAAGACAGTGCAGGAAAAAATCCTTTAAGACTTTGTGTCCTAATATATTATTGTACTTCAATTTACTAAAGAACCTCCTATACACTACCCATATAACTATTTATATAACAATTTTTTTCAAAGGTTATGTATGCTTTTTAATCGGATACAGGTATTAACTGACAATATGTAGCTCACTGTTATTTCCTTTATCAAATTAAATAAGGTACAATCAACTTATTTTACAACTGAACTAATTGATCTATAAATTAATTAAATAAGATTTATACCCACTTACGGAGATATTCAATTGTGTAATGCCGTTGCTTGCCATTAAGAACTTTAGTGTAAACATCAGGAAAGCCAACTCCCCAACCAATGGTGTAACCTCGTATCATGATATTTTGATTGCGAGGAGGAGTCCAGCTAACAAATATTGAAGTAGCACTTGGTCTTGCTCGGAGACTTTTAGGTCGATCAGGAACAATAGATTCTGTGGAAAACAGATTAATAAAATAGCTAGGACTAACTAAGTGATATAATTAGATGATGAGGAATTTTTAAAAGTACATACCGTTAAGTACATGAATTTTCTTAAGTTTTTAAGCCGTACAGTAATAGGTAGTAATATTTTATTTATTTGAACATCTAATTAATAATATTGAATTATTCTGGTATCGACAGATTGCTCAAACTCTCACTGAGAAACATAATACTGACGTAGCTATTTGAGGACATCTGCACTAGCCATCCCAAAGTTTGAAGTGACAGACTATAGGGAAGGCAGTTAGTCACCATCACCCACTACTAGGAGTCTCATAATGGAATTATAACTGGTTATAGAATTCGTTACAAAGTTCGAGGAAGTCGGTGGGGTGAAACCATAACTACTGATGGCAACAGAAGACTGTATGCCATAACAGATTAGTATATAGCTTATAACTCTTAAGCTACTCTTGTCTGACTAACAAGTGGGATTTTTACCATTAATCTTATAATGCACCAGAGCACGATTACTAGCATTTCATTTACTTTTTTTGTAGTAATGGGATGCAAACTGCAGAATCTCATATCCACAGTCCAGCATATTAACCCCTGGGTTATACTTGCTCCTAGAAATAAGGGAACAACTTACTTACACAAAAGTGAAACAGGTTTTTATTACATTTAGTCTCACTTCAAAAAATAATCTTCTTCACCTTGCTAAGCCTACAAGTGTCACTAACTAAATGATTAAACATTAGTCTAACTCACTATCTCTTTACAATTACTCTGTTTATAAGGTAATTTCCAATATTTTAAATTCACTCCTTCTCCTAATTTGAATTTTCCATAAAACTATATATGCAGAACATTATATCCAATGTTTTAGACCAGGGATTCTCAAACTGTGGTTCGCGTACCACTTGTGGTAGGTGGAGCTAATGTCGGTGGTACACGACGTAAGTAATATAAAAAATTTGTAATAAGCCCTATCTGAGCTTTCCACATACATATACATACTACTATCCTCACTTATATACTCACCTCTACTCACATAGACTCGTCAGTATTTTCTTCCCTTAAAACTGACAAAAATGGTATCACATATTCTTCAATCGTGCCAGAAAAAACAATTGCATCCTTCGCATTAATGGGTAAGTGTTAAAATTATGAATTTTTGTTATTAGTTTTTATCTTTTTTTTTTAAATTAGGCCTGGGTTTGTAATTTTAAAAAATTAAACAAAAAGTGGTACATGAGCCTCAAACGTTTGAAAACCACTGTTTTAGACAATGTTTATGTCACTTAAAACATATCAAGAATAATATCTAGTAATTAAATTTATAATGCAAATATGAAGGTAATCCATAAATACTGATATTAAAAAAAAACATAACTTGGAAAATTGATACAATAAACAATTTACAAATCAAGAGAGTTAAATTCTCTCACAAAACATTTCTATTTTACTGTAAAAAGAATTAGCAAAACGTGAAATATAATTCATTAGGAACACTTGAGCAGTCATTAACTTTGAAGTAAAAAATATGATGTTACTTAAACACAGTTTTCTTGAAATTATAAATTTCAGCATAAAAAAAACTGTCAGTTATCTTACCATCAAGATCATTTTCATACAAGTCAACAGTAAACCACTGTGTTGGTGGTCCACTGCCATTTACTGAAAGTGCGGCAATCTTGACACTATAGTGACCACCTCGTTCTAAGCCTAAATGTAAGGATAAAAACCAATGTTTAAATTAAAATGGGATAGAGGCAATGAAATGACTGAAAACAGAGCAATTGCTAAAAAAAATGTCAAAAAATAATAATAATTTAGCAAGATATATTTTTTTTACAATCACTAGATAAGCATTAGTTTCAACCAAAATGTTGTGAAATATATCTTAGAAAATAAACTATAAATTCTAAATGTTAAATTAAACAAATGTATGATATTTTACGAAGTATTCAAATTAAAACTAAACCAACTACTAAACTAAAACATAGTATTGGTGTCATAAATTAGACTAAAATGAGCATTAAGCTTTCTAAAGTGAAAATATGGAATATTTAAACAACTTTGAATTATAAATTCACTACTGATTAAAAGTCTTCATGATTTATGTTATTTTCACAGTAAAGCTTCATGAAATCTACCATAAAATATTATATTTTCCTCAAGAAAACTTAAGCTTCACATTTCCTACTTTTTTTTTAGAGAAATTCATTCATTAGCTTTCTTAGATGTGTTCAGCCCATCTTAGTTCCCAAATTTAAACCCTGATGATAACGATACTGCACATTATACAAGTTATGACTGAAATATTTGCCAACACTTGTAGCTCACACATCATTGTAGCAGTATGAAGAGTACTTAAGTTGTTTTTAAAGTAGATTGTAGCACACACTCATCATTGTAACAGTATGAAGAATATTTAAGTTGTTTTTGAAGTAGATTGTAGTGCACACATCATTGTAACAGTATGAAGAATATTTAAGTTGTTTTTAAAGTAGATTGTAGTGCGCACATCATTGTAGCAGTATGAAGAATATTTAAGTTGTTTTTGAAGTAAATTGTAGCACAAACATCATTGTAGCAGTATGAAGAATACTTAAGGTGTTTTTGAAGTAGATTGTAGCACAAACATCATTGTAACAGTATGAAGAATATTTAAGTTGTTTTTGAAGTAGATTGTAGCACACATCATTGTAGCAGTATGAAGAATATTTAAGTTGTTTTTGAAGTAGATTGTAGCGTGCACATCATTGTAGCAATATGAAGAATATTTAAGTTGTTTTTAAAGTAGATTGTAGCGCGCACATCATTGTAGCAATATGAAGAATATTTAAGTTGTTTTTAAAGTAGATTGTAGCGCGCACATCATTGTAACAGTATGAAGAATATTTAAGTTGCTTTTAAAGTAGACTGACAGATACAAGACCGGCACCTGCAGCAATAAGAACAATAGCATTATTTTAGCACACACTCATAAGACATCTTTATGGTGGTTGAAATCTTACTCAAAAGTAGAAGATGTACCACCAGAGGTACTTCACTTTCACTCTCAATTTCATACTAATTTCAGAATTTTATTCAATTTAAAGTTCAGAAATAATCAAGCTAGATACCTTTGTTTGCAGTAAGTCAAGGGTGAGCAGGGATCATATTTCAATTTCAGCAAACAAGCAATGTAATGTAAGCATCTAGAAGCATTCTTTTTAATATACCACTATAAACCTATAGTATCCTCTCGTAACACACAAATATTTATAAATACAATTTATTTTACTAACTATATATAATATACAAAACATAATAATAATAATAATACACAAAAATATAATAAAAACATATCATGATTTAAGATGAAGCATGCACTTCCCCATGTAAAACTATACACAAAATTAGTTTACTTTATTCTAAGTCAAGTACTATAGAGGTCAGCACTAGTCTTTTTACAAAAAATGTGGATCTTTTTCTCTTATACAAAGAGTTTAAGTGATTTATCTTAGCCTAAAAGAAATTTGAAAAATGAAAGTACTCAAAAGTTAAGAGAGCAAAACAAAGAGGAGCTTAGCTTAACTTGCAGTTTATGCCCACCCCACCCCCGGCTATGCCCCTGTTACATACTAACCTGTTATGGCATACAGTCTCCTGTTTCCATCAGTAGTTATGGTTTCACCCCGCCGACTTCCTCGAACTTTGTAACGAATTTTATAACCAGTTATAATTCCATTATGAGACTCCTTGGGTGGAGGTTCCCAACGAACTATTAAACTCTTGAAAGTGCAAAGGAACAAAAGAAAGTCAGGCTAAGAAAATGCAGTGAAAACGTCTCCTCAGATTACATCTAACATACAATTTGTTTATAAAAAATATTGGGCACAAAACAAAACTAATGACAGAGGGTAAAATATTCTGCTTGACAGACGATTGTAAAGTTATTTTTCAAGAACACTTATACGACTTATTTAATATATTACAATGACTTGCAAGCACAGCCAAAAATATACAGCAGTAATCAAATTATTATATAAAGCAAAAAAATATAACTTAACTTACTGTGGAGCTGGAGGCCTCAACAGTGACATTTTGTGGTGGTTCACTTGGAGCTAGAAACATTGATAAATAATATCAGACGAGGTACTCCCTGAACTTTATGACACAAACCGAGTTAATACGAGTTCGAGTTCAAAAGTTCAGCTGTATTTAAATAACACCGAAAAAACCTTTAGAACTTACTTAAACAAATAAAATCAATAATAGCAGAATTTTACAGTTCGAGTTATTAAATGCATGCTAATAAAATTCGCTTTCCTCTCGTGAAATTAACAAGCACATCTTTTCAAAATCATACAATATAGGTAGCAATTTTATCAAACTATCAGCTGTGAAAAAATTAACTTCGTAATTATTATTTCTGATTTACAATAAAAAGTTATACAAAAAATAAATCATTGTAATATGAATACTTGGAAAGTTAACTAGAGATATCAAACTAAGAATGGAAAAAAAAATGTTGTTTTTTCAATTTCTTTACTTTTTAATTTTTGATTAAAAATAAATTGTGACAAAATAGTAAAATAAACACCTTTAATGATGCTAATAGATGAACTCCATTAACTGAGAACTCAATAAACTTAGAAATTAAGATATAAATTGTCTTTGATTCCACTCAAAACCAAATCTTCAGTGAAACTAGGATCTAACTTGATGATAATGACTAAATCTAAGTTAAATCTTCAGTGAAACTATGGTCTAACTTGATGATAATGACTAAATCTAAGTTAAATCTTCAGTGAAACTACAGTCTAACTTAATGATAATGACTAAATCTAAGTTAAATCTTCAGTGAAACTATGGTCTAACTTAATGATAATGACTAAATCTAAGTTAAATCTTCAGTGAAACTACGATCTAACTTAATGATAATGACTAAATCTAAGTTAAATCTTCAGTGAAACTACGGTCTAACTTAATGATAATGACTAAATCTAAGTTAAATCTTCAGTGAAACTACGGTCTAACTTGATGATAATGACTAAATCTAAGTGAATAATATTGAATAATCTCCTACTATCTGAGTATGTTTGAGCTGAAACCTCTCTTGTGCTGATCCCGGGTCCATTTTTGTTTACAGCCACTACCCAAACACTGTATTTAGTAAATTTCTTCAGGTGTCTGATAACGTAGCTGGTATCAGTGGTAGTGATTTCATGCTCAGTAGAAGCTCCTGCTTCCATGTAGTAAAGTTTATATCTGTCTATCTGGCTATTTGGTTTATCAGGGGGACTCCATTGTACTTGGATAGAAGTTGGTGAGGTAGATATTGCACGTAAGTTGCGTGGAGAACCTGGAACATGAACTGGAAGGGAAGAATGACTTTTCTTTAAAAGCAACGCAATCATATTTTTGATATACGTGAGGCTGATTATTTCTGTGTATTGATGTAATGTATTCTATCATAAAGTGTGTTACTCAGTAACAATAATGCCAAGTACAGTTCACCTGTATAATTTTCTAAAGGCTATTTTCACTTTGACACAATTTTTATGCCTAAGTTCACAAACAACAGAAATTCCTCACTTTTTGTAGTATGTCTAACTTACAAATAAACTTACTTACAGTTACAGAATTTACTTGCTGAATCATTAACTTAAAAGACACAAAAACTCTCACTACAAACACTGAACCAAATCATTCTCTGAACACTTCACTGAATTCTCATTACTTGTATTTATAAATAATGTACCCTTGTCTCTAGGTATCAGACAAAGCTTCTCAATTATTACATCATCGTGGTTAGCAGCTCCATCTAGCAAACAACTAAATTATAACATAAAATAAATGAGGTTGTAAAAATATACCTTTCTTATGTATCAAGTCATGCTTATAAAACTTAGATATGAATTGTAGCTCACCTGTGCTTTGAACTGAAACAATAAATCTTAACTAACATATTGTGCACCAGTTCATGATAATGATTTTTTCACACTTACCTTCAGCTTTGGTTTCTACAGCAATTTGATTCGAACTGCTTCCTGGTCCATGTTGATTGTATGCAATAACACGGATGGTGTAGCGGGTGGAAGATCGGAGACCCTGAATACTGACTTCTTCCAAGTGAGGTATGGTTGTATTCACTACTCTCTCTCTTGAATAAAAAACAATTTTTAAATAGTACATTCAAACATGGTCACATTCACTATTGTTTTTTGAATACCCAGTGCTTTCAAAAATTATATTCTAAACAGGATCTCAGTATTCATTCATTCTCTCTGGAATATATAATGATAAAAGAACTTCTGATCATCATTAAACACCGATTTAAAAATTTGATCGGATCATATTTTTAATTATTTATACCAGGATTTATTTAGCTCAAACTGAACAGAAATTTTGAGATTTTCACAACTAATTAAGATGAAGGTGAAAAACATTACAAACTTACTAGAACTTTGTGAAGCAATAACAAGACATTAAATATATTTTTTAGAAATAAAATTACATTCACAATTTCTGTACTGAATTAAAACCGTTAGTATCATAGGTTAGTGATTACAGGGTGTATTATTAAATCCATTGCAAACAGTTTTACACAAAGTGATTGAATGTTTCTTAGATCTTTTAAGTTTAAAGCTGCTCATAGTTAGTGATTTTTCCAGTAGATAAACAGAAATTACAATGTTCCAAATAAAAGAATATTCTAGTTGTATAATAAAAAGAATCAGAAAATCATGTTATGAAATTGTTATATATTATGGGTAGGAAACAAGGGCAACCATAGATGTGGAGGGCTGAACACTAGCATTTTTGTCTTCCATAAGAAAGGTATACTCAGTTATTTCTTTATAATTGCTTTCATTATTGGTATTGGTTAGAATGTTTAATATAGATATATAATTTTATTTTTATTACTATATCTTCATCATAAAGATCGTTTTGCATTGCTAACTTAATGTATGTATTTAGGACTAACTTAAATCTCCTAATCTGGCCAAACATCATTGGGATTATGGCTGAAATAACCAGCTGATAAAACAATGCATTCTAGTTTTTATAAATATAAACATAAGAAAACTATACTTAATTATCTATAGCCATTACTAATACCAGTTTGAATTTTAGACTTTACTTTAAGTAGGCAGCTTGCTCTGATTGGGAGTTAATATTAATTACCTGCTTGAGCCTTCTTCTTTGTAGTAAACAGAGTATCCAATAATAATTCCATTAACCAGGGCTGGTGGTTGCCAGGTTATGGTCACAAATCGTGTAGAAACAATGACAGCCGTTAGCTTTCGAGGGCTTGAAGGCACTTCTTCACGAAGAGGCTGGTCATCTATAACGTGAGGGGTAGTTACAGAAGTATGGGTGGTAAGGGTGGGGAGTGGTAAGTCTGTTTATTAATAATTTTACAGATTATCACGGAGTGTTTACAGAGTTTGTAAGATCATTGGGATTCCATTGAGAAAAATATGAAGTTACAGAGAAGCAGCAGCCATTGAGAAGAAAACCAAAAGTGGGAAAAGAACAAAGACATTAATTCAAAATACCACAAGTCAACATTGTTTGGAAGATAAATATTATTTTTGGCATTAATACACATGATGAAAGATGTTAGTGGTCAGAAGGAGGTGCAGGAAAATGGGAGAAAAAAACATACCAAATTTAGAATCTGAAAAATGCAAAACGTTTACATGCATAAATGTAAGTAAACAAACTAGAAGAAGTCACTTCTATTTAATAACACAGTAAAATTTCAAAATAAATTTATTTTACAAAACAAAAATTTTTAATTGGTTTAATTAAATGGGGATCTTTTTCTGTTAGGTACAAGCTATAAATACTATAATTATTTCAAAGTTATTTTTGATTTTTTTTTAGAAACTTTAAAGTCAGTTTCTACATTTAAGCATTTATGAAGACAGAAACTTAATAAAGCAAAGTATGGACAAAAAATTTCTGAAAAACTTAATACAAAAATGAAAATGTTTGTAAAGAAATTTACCGATTACTTTTTCTACTCATTTAACATTTGCAAAGCAGAGATTTTCTGAGCATGTCATTCAAACTAAAAAAAAAAAAATCAACATTACATGCAATAAACATTTAAAACAGGTTTTAACTGAGAGAACAGCAAAACAATATTAAAAATGTGCTCTAAATATTTACTTGCTCATAATACCAACTTGTTATAATTTAATGGTTTGATTTCTTCCGTTCCATACAGAAAAACAAGTGAATGTGTAGGGGAAAGCTCAGAACACCAAAACAACACAATAATGTAAAAGTGTATATAGTTTATGTGTGAAGAAGTGAGTAAAACAAAGATAGTTGTATATTTCACAAATATTTCATTCATTGTGACCATGGTTTCATAAGTAAAGACATCTTCAATACCCGATGATATCTTTACTGACAAAACCATGATTGTAATAAATTATATATTTGTGAAACATATAATTGTCTAAATTTTATTAAATTCTGTAATTATGGAGTTTCACCAAGTTCTTACGGTTTCAAGTATCAGTTATATATATATTTCAGACTTGAAGCTCTAATTCAACGAATAAAATTACACCTACACATCATGTCATATTCATCCAGTACTTTTGTTTTCTTAACAAGCATATAATTTAATATTTTTACATTTTTTTAAATATGAATTAATGCTGAGAAGTTGGGATAAAATTAAAAGTTTAGACCAGCAATTCTGAACGTAGGGGAATTTGAAAATGCTATAATAAGAAAAATTTTACATTATATTATTATACCTTTTCAACACCAAATTTGTTTTTATATTAAGGGGGCATCAAATTTTTTGAGGTGTCGAGGTGGGGCATGGAGCAAAAAAGGTTAAGAACCACTGATTTAGACCTTCATGGTTTGTCTTAAAAAAAGGAAGTGATTATTTCCTCATAAATACCAACCTAATCTAATTATTTCTAAACATGAAAATTTTAACGTTTATTATTTACAAAACTTCAAGAACAATCACTAGAGAACAATAGTGTTTGACATAAGCATAAATACTTAGGGAACAGAAAATAACTTATTTACTTGGATTCAAAATAATTAGTTGAGCAGAAGCCTGGATATTTCCTGCTGGATTTCTTCCAATACATTGATAAATTCCCTGATCTGAACGAACCATACCCAGGATCCTGAGGTTATACCCATTCACAATCTGGAAATATTCACTCTCTATAATAACCTCTCCATTCTTGATCCACTGGACAGTTGGTTCAGGTTGACCATAGATTTCACATTCAAATTCTATGTCTTCTTTCTCATATGCGTATCTATTTTGTGGTCTCTTTATGAATTTTGGAGGAACTTCAAAAGCAAATAATGATAAATATATCAAATATAAACCACAAATTTTAAATATTAACATATTTTTTCTGATTGAAAATAAAAAAAGACGTAAAGTTAACAACATAATGAACACTTGTAGCATCAGTAGATGGGAGATCCGATTAAGCTATCAAATAAAAGTTTATAAGAAACAGAAGAAAAGATAACATTATGTACCTGATGATGACAAAACCTTGTCGAAACGTTGTACATTTGCTGTTATGTTAAACTTATATTAAAGTTTTTCTTCATTACCCATTCGAGCCGTCTCCAACCATTATTAGTCTCAAAGTGGGTTCCTTGTCATCGAATTATGATTAGTTATTTTACAATATGAAGAGAGGAGATATCCCTTGGAGTAATTTATAATGTAGCATGAAAAGAAAATATTCAAAGATGTTGGATAACAAGAAAGAAGGTACAAATGTTACTTTAAACACACAATGGAGAGAAGCAAGGTATGAAGCGGATAACTCAAAATGAAAAGCTAGGAGATACAAAGATATCAAATACATTATTTTAGATGATAAACAGCATATTTTTATAGAAAAATGGACATCAAGTTTCTTTAGCAAGATCGTTTAGGTGAATAATAATGAACATGACAAACCTATTGTTTATTATACAGCAGTAATGTCACTAAACTAGAATTAAAGATTGTAGAGTTGAAGTTATAAATATAAATAAAAAAGTGTATGTAATAAAATTAATTCAATCTTTTCTGTTTCATTAGGAAATTTGCATTCATTTAGTTCAAGGATGGTCGACTTCTTCATACTCATGGTCCAGTTTCTTACCTAGACTCTAGTCTGCAGACTGACCCTATATGACCAGGTTAAAGTTTACTCGAAATATTTGAAAGTTAAATTCATACTACCAACTATAGACCCTCAGCTAATTAGATGGTTTTGAATAAATAGCTGAGTTAACATTTGAAGAAAGCTCTCCGAACTACCGTGGGACTGATTTACTTGGTCACGGTTTTCATTTTGGCAGTTTGGCCAAAATAAGATATGATTAAAAAAAACGGGCTGGATAAAATACCTTCCTGGCTTCACGACGTGAAAATAAAACAGTGACAAGGAAAAACAGTTTCGATTTGCATTAAACTGTCTCTCTTTGTTACAAGAGGTATAAAATAACATGCTCAGTAATGTATGCAGTAGTGACATTATGTTGTCTGCTGCAACCTGCCAACTGTATAAGAAGCAGCAAAGGTAACGCTCAGTTATTCCAAGCTGCATGATAACTTCCTTTCTCAGTTAAAAAAACAACTATCTTTAAATCGATAGTTGTCAGAGGCTCATAGTACTGAACAGAAGTATAAAAATGTTACAGATTACTACAAAAAATGAAAAATTAGACATTAAGAATCTTGCATGGTATCATTGTGATGGTAACAAGATGGAGAATTAATTTGATTTTATAATAGCAAGCTCAATCTCACAGCTCAAGGAAGCCACGCATGGTACAATTATGTACTGTCGATTAATATTAATAATTTCTCATTTATCCTGTATATGCAACAAAAGTATAATTCCCAAAAGCTCATGGTCAATATCAAAGTAATAAATCATATCAGTGGATGGTTATGTACATGTTTAACTTTTTACTAGTTGTTCTGTAAAAAAAAAAGTTAGTTTTATATAAAAATGAATGTAACAGCCAATTAAATTACAATGTACCATTACCTTGTATTTCAACAGTTGCAGTCACATCTTCCGAGTCTACCAGATTTTCAGCACGACACGTATAGGTACCCTCATCTTCTATTTGTATATTCTCTATCAGTAAACTTCCTATGCCAAGCATCTTAAAGTGACTTTCAACCTGTCTGATGTAGAGATCATACTTTCTGAAGGTCTGCTTCGAAACATTGAACTATATTGTTAGATATTTGTTAAAAGAATTATGAAAAAATTGTCCAGTTATTATCGACCTATTAGTCTTATATCATTTATGGGAAACGTTTTTGAAAGTTTCAAGGTTTTGTTGACTAGTCAGCATGGTTTCACTAGGAGAAAACCTTACTGATCTTTTGACATTCTTATTTAGATGAAGGTAAGGGTGTGGATTTGTTGCATCTGCATTTTCAGAAAGCATTTGATAAAAGTGTGGCTTGTTGGAATAAAAATGGATGGATACAAGAAAAACAAAGAGTTGTTATAAGTGCAGTTCAGTCAAACTGGATTAATGTCACAAGTGGGATACTTCAGACTCAGTCTTAGGACCTTTGCTCTTTTTAATTTATATCAATGACATATATAAAGGAAAAGTCAATAAGTTGCTTGATTTTGCTAACGATATTAAGGTCTTGAATATTGCTAATTGTGAGGAGGATTTGATTTATTTGATAAGTTGGGAGAATAAACTGCAAATTGTTTTAGATTATAATAAATGCAAGGTAATGTAGGTAGGTTATCATAATTTAAGTTATAAATATAATTTTAAAGGGAATAACTTTATCAGTATATGGAAGAAAAGGATCGTCATATTTTGGTTGATCAGCCTTTTAATCTATTCAAGCAGTGTGCTGTTGCTAATGGTAGAGCAAGTAGGATTTTAGGTTGTTTCTTCAGAAATGTTGACTGTACGTCTTAAGAGTTTATAATTTCAATGTATGGGTCACTGGTTATGCCTCAATTGAAGTATTGCATTCAATCTTGGAGCTCCTAACCTTAGGAAAGACATTGAATTCTTGGAAATCAGAAAAGGGCCACTAGGATGATACCTGGGATGGAAAAGTTGTTATATGAGGACAGGTTAAGATCTCCGAATTATTTTATTTTTTTAAATAAGAAGAATTAGAGATCTTATTGAGGTGTTTAAGAGTATTAAGGGAATTAATAGTGTTGATATCATCCTTTTTCATTCTTAATACTGAGATTGGTAGGACTAGGGGACACAAATATAAATCTTGGCAAGGTAGGAGTCGTCTCAGTAGGACATTTTTATTTTTGAAACAGAGTGATTGGCCTTTGAAATGGGTTGCCTTCAGATGTGATAGATGCAGTAAAGATAAGGGAGTTTAAGAAAAATACCTGATAAATATTTGCATAGTAAGGGCTAGATTTGTGTTTTATTACTATTTTGTTGTATATAGTTTAGTGGATGGGACTGTCTAAATGGACCAACAGGTCCCTTGATGTCCTTAAATTTTATGTCAACTTAATTCTACTGCAGGATGTCCAAACATTATGTAAACAGACGGGAGCCATGAAGTTCCATTACACCAACAGAGGTAAAATTACAATGAGCATTACACCCTGTATAATAGGAATAATGTACATTTTATCTATTAGTGTTTTTTTATTTCTTTCACATTTCACAACTGATAAATACTAGAAACATTTAATAATGAGATAACATTTATTGTAAGTGAAAAAAAATTAACTGTAATTTATTTAATCTCTTTTAATTTAAGGTTATACGTTACTTACTTCAGTTCAATAGTGCTTCCATCTTTTAACCAAGTTATCTGGGGATGTGGATTACCATTTGCAGCACAGTCCAGTGTAACATTTGTTCCTTCTGTTACAATGATACTTTTAGGAGTAGTAATAAATTCTGGACTTTTTCTTTTGTAAGACTCAACTGTGGATATAATAAAACTATATTATAAATCATCATAACATGACATAGTTACAAAGAAGGTTTAACTAAAGAATACAAATGTCTAATTTTCTTACTTTAGATTTAAAAACTATACATCACTGTTCTAAAGAATTAGGCTATGTATCCAAAAAGGGAATATTGCTAGTAATCATTGATTTACTGTGGTGTAGCACTGCCTGTGACTCAGGAGTGATGCTTGAGGGGCTACAGCTATCCCAAAATTTGCTTTAGTCACCCCAATCAGTATGTCTAACACACTGGTGATCCACTCATCTCAAAGGCAAAACCCCCCCAATATTTTTTCTGGCTTTCCTCAGCCTCCCCATCTGGAAAAATTTGGCATTGCACCAGCTGTGACCTGAATAACCCCTGTGATTCTGAAAGGAATGCTCTTGACTAAGCTCTGAAAGATAATCTACATGATGTTATATTTATTAATATCCACTGTCGTTTCAGAAGCTTGGTCAATCACTTGATGATAACTGATGGCCAAGGTTTACTGTTTAAAATCAACCCTTCCAGACTCCCAAGTTGTTTGGTAGGGTCAAGACAGCGTAACTTATGGATAACAAGGAAAAATTGGTCCTTGCATACAACTTTGAGAAAATTAAAAATTTCAACCCACCCTTTACTTTTCAGGAAATCAAATTCCCTTTTAAACTCTTTTAAACTGCATGCCTCCATTATTGCCAACAGCAATTTATCTCATAAGGCAATCAATCACCCTGCTGGAAAAATAAAACTGGCTTAACTGGAGCCTAATCAGTCTTATATATAATTTTAATCTTACATCCTCTGACACTATCTTCAGGATATAGCACAACACAATTAGAGGCCTTGTTCTCTTAATTACCTTGATAATCTTGTAAACTTCAGCAAGAGTAACTCTTAGTTTTCTTTTCTCAACAAGAGGACTAGTTAAAAGATCCTAATCTATCCTTACATCTCCAGAATCATCCTAGTAGTCCTCCTCTGAACCTTTTCAATAAGTCAATAAGGGGATCAAAACTGCACATAATAGTCCAAGTGAAATCTAATTACTGATTTGTAGTAAAACATAATTAGATCTTTTGACTTGTAACCAATGTCTATAAATACCCTCTAGCACTCTTTTAGCTTCAATGATAGCAATAAAACACTACTATTATGACTTTAATGACTTATCTACCACTTTTTTTTTATTCCTGTAAACTCCCAGTGGAGCATAGGGCCGCAACAACACCTCACCAATGGAAGGTGTTGTTG